CTCTCTCTCTCTCTCTCTCTCTCACACACTAACCCTAACACACACACACACACACACACACACACACACACTGTAACCCCCATCTCACACACACACTAACCCCATCTCGCACTCACGCACACACATGCACACACACAGTAACCCCATCTCACACACACACTGTAGCCCCATCGCTTTCTCTCTCTCTCTCTCACACACACACACACACACACACACACACACACACTCTGTAACCCTATCTCACCAAGATTCCTGCTAAACCAAAACTTGGTTCTGTCCCCCATGATCCTATGTGCTCTTCACCACGGTCCACCTCTCCCAACACTCGAATGCAGAGAAGGGCTCCCAGCCCCCTTAATCAATGACAGGCCATGCTCCAGAGCTCCTGAATTGAGAGACCTGCCAGCTTTAAAGGGGGGGCCACCTTAGTCCCCTTTTAGAAACAGTGAAGGGGACAGGTGGTTGATTGCTCGAGTTCCCGTGGAACTGATTTTAATGGTGGTGAGATTAAATTGAATTGTGTTTACCGAATAATTAATGACATTAGGGTGCCTAAACCCTTGGATCAGCCTCCTTATTATTTTAATCTCAATAACATAAGAGTCTAGCAGTCTCACAGCTGTTGGTGTCCTCAGTGCAACCTGGTGGATAGAGCACTTAGGAGATTTGGGTTCTATTCCCACCTCTACCACTGACCTGCTGGGTGATCTTGGGCAAGTCACGTCGTCCCTCTCCGTGCCTCAGTTTCCCCACCTGTAAAATGGGGATAATGATACTGTGCTTTGCCAAGCACTTGGAGAACTACAGATGAAAAGTGCTAGATTAGAGTGAGGTCTTTATTATTATTTCATTAAAATCACCAAATATATGTTGAATCAATTCTTTGCTGCAATGTAACCACTCAGCTCTAGATTGCAGGCCCCTTGAGCCAGCTCTGTACTGCCACAGAACTTTGTTTTAAAAAAAAACATTGCAAAATAAAAGAAATTAAAAGAAAAGGTGCAATGCCAAGCCTGCAGGCTGACTCCTCAGGGGGGCTGAGCGCCCACAGCTGTCCTGGAAATCCACAGACCACGTTTTCCAAAGAGCTCAGGGCCAGATTCACGAGAGCCCAACAGGGCCTGCAATCTGGACCAGGTTGACCAAGTTAGCTTAGTGCTCAGCAGAGCTCCCATTGTGGTGCTCTGGCCAGTTTTCTAGGCTATGAATGCCAGCAATTCCACTGACCTCAAAGGGCCAAAGCCTGGAGCTTTAGTCAAGCAAACTCCCATCACTGTCAAGAGAAGTTTGTTTGAATGGGGACATCTGGAAGTAGCCCTTTATATTCCATCTCCATCTTTCATTTGCAGCCTCTCAAAGGTTAGACTCAGTGAGCACGTCAGGGCTAACTTACCTCCTTCCGAGAGAGAAAAGGGAGGAGACCTGGTGGATGGATCGGCTGCGATATCTTTGCACCGTCTGGAAGTAATGCCTAGCTACAATGCCACTGACCTAATGGCTGAGAGACCATGTGCTCTTCCCCTTGGGACCCTGCTTTGCTAAAGGAATAACTCCTCAGCTCACCAGGAACCTATAAAGCAAAGGGAACATAGGAATTGCCAGATGGAATCAAAACCAAGCTCCATCTAGTCCAGGAGCCTTTCTCCAACAGTGGTCAGTGCCAGATGCTTCAGAGGAAGATGCAGACAAACAAACAAAAACCAGAAGGTAGCAGTGGGCTACTCTAACAGTTAGAAACTATGGCCAAACAGAAGACACCTGGCCCAGATATTGGCAGAAACCAAACTATCCACCGGCCCAGAGCCAGCAAAAGGTGACTGCTTCCCCCTACTGGAGACCAGCACCTAGGACAAGGGCCTGGGAGAGGACTTGTCTCCCTGGCCAAGAAATCAGTAGTGCTTCCTTGGCCTGTTCGGGCAATGAAGAGATTTCCGACCCCACATCGGGCAGGGATGCATTACTGCCAGCCCTAGATCCTACACTTTAGGATGGGGCGTGACTCTATTTGGCTTCCTCCCTTAAAAGAATCCAAAAGTTATGCACCTGCTCAAGTTATGCACCCCCCAGAACCCCCGACGACTCTAACACTCCCGTTTCCTGTCCCCTGCCTGCCCCAATCGCTCTCTACACCCCCTTCTCCTGATAGCCCCCCCCAGAACCCCTGACCAATCTAACCCCCCCCCTCTTCCCTGTCCCCTGCCTGCCCCAACTGCTCTCTACGCCCCCTTCTCTTGACAGCCCCCCCAGGACCTTCGACCAATCTAACCCCACCTGTTCCCTGTCCCTTGCCTGCCCCAACCGCTCTCTACACCCCCTTCTCTTGACAGACCCCCCAGGACCTTCGACCAATCTAACCCCCCCGTTCCCTGTCCCTTGCCTGCCCCAACCGCTCTCTACACCCCCTTCTCTTGACAGACCCCCCAGGACCTTCGACCAATCTAACCCCCCCGTTCCCTGTCCCTTGCCTGCCCCAACCGCTCTCTACACCCCCTTCTCCTGACAGCCCCCCCAGAACCCCCAACCAATCTAACCTCCTCGTTCCCTGTCCCTTGTCTGCCCCAACCGCTCTCTACACCCCCTTCTCCTGACAGCCCCCCCAGAACCCCCAACC